CGGATATAAGAGAAACCCGGATATAAGAGAGATTTTCTCTGGTCTCAAATTAGAGCCTGTGTTAATGTATATAAAATAGACCAAACCCAGATATAAGAGAAACCCGGATATAAGAGAAACCCGGATACAAGAGACTTCTTCTCCGGTCCCGACTTCTCTCTTATATCCGGGTTACACTGTATATTAAAGAAGCTTGGCTAGAATGTGTGTCTTTCTTTGTATATAATTTTTCAGAAAAGGAAAGAATTATTCAGCGCATTAAAGACATGTTTGTGAATAGGAAAACAGTTATGGATAGAATACTTATGCTGGAAAGGAATACAGCTAAAGAACTGGCAAAAGATTTGTCTTTATGTAAGATTTTTTTTCTATTTCTGTTGATGAAAGAACGGATATCATCAGCTAGGCTAGCGACATTTTCTCGAGTTTGTAGGGGGGGATGAAGTATGTGAAGAGGTCGTTGCCCTTATAATACTACCTGAGCATACTACTAGGGCTGAAATGTATAAAGTAGTTGTGAACGAATCAGCGACTGGACATTTCAAAAGTAGTATCTGCCACAACAGATGCTGTCCCCAGCATGACTGATGAGAAGACAAAATTTGTAAATCTGTTTGAAAAAGATGTTAGGTTTTCATTGCATGAGGAGCCTGGGTGTGCAAAAGCTGGCCTACTGGAACTTCAGGAAGTGAAGCAAACAGTTACTAAGGTTGTTAATTACATTTCTGCACGCTCTTTAAAAAAAAAGAAAAAACAATTTCAAATTTCATTGAATGAATTAGAATCTGTATATAAAGGACTGAAAATGTACAACAATGTTTGTTGGCACAGCCAAGGTTTGGTTCTGAAACGATTTGTTGAATGCTTAGGTGAGATAAAGTAATTTTGAATGACCAACAAGTGTTTTACCAAGAATTGTCTGATGTCATGTGGGTTTGTAAACTGGTGTTTTTGGGGGGTTTGGGTTTTTTTTTTGTTTTGCCGATGTTTGTGAACAATTAAATGACATGAATATTAAATTACAGGACTCTGGTAACACACTTCATATTTCAAAAGTATCTGCCACAACAGATGGTGCCCCCAACATGACTTATGAGAAGGCAGGATTTGTAAATCTGTTTGCAAAAGATGTTGGTCATCTACTGATAGGTTTTCATTGCATCATACAAGAGGAGGCTTTGGGCGCAAAATTTGTCCTCATGGAACTTCAGGAAGTGATGTAAACAGTTACCAAGGTTGTTAATTATATTTCTGCTCAAACTCTACATAAAAGTCAATTTCAAATGTTACTGAATGAGGTAGAATCTGCATATAAGTAACTGAAAATATACAAAAATGCTCATTGGCTCAGCCAAGATTTGGATCTGAAACAATTTGTTGAATGAGATAAAGCTCTTTTTGAATGACCAACAATTGTCTTACCAAGAATTTTCTGACATTATGTCAGATTTTTTTTGAACATTTAAATGACTTGAATATTAAATTACAGGGCTCTGGTAAGACACTTGACATTTATATTTGGTTACATAAAGGCTTTTTAAATGAAAGTAGAAGTTTTTAAGAGCGATGTAGATAATAAGAGATTTAAATACTTCCCAAACCTAAAGCGGTACATCAATGATTTCCCAAAAGATGGCTGAACAGACCCTCAACGTCTTAAAAAGATGTTTGTAAACATCATCGAATAAACTGTTGCGCAATTCTTTACAAGATTTGATAAATTCAGAGAATTGGATGATACGGCAAAATTGATTAAGTTTCCAGACAGTATCAAACTAGATGAACTAAACTAGAACTAGCAAATGTTTTCGTGTATTGACATGGATGATTTTGAAATGCAGTTGATTGAATTTCAGTGTAGCTCAATTTGGAAGCAGAAATTTGTTGACCTTTGATTTGACTTAGAAAATATTGAAAAGGAGCGATAAGAGATGAGGTATCAGAAGAAAATGCGCGAAACGAAATATTAAGAACTTGGAACAGAATTCCAGAAAATTGTGCCTATTTAAAAAAAAAAAAAAAAAAAAAAAAAAAAACTGGCAATAGCATTACCGCTACACCACCAACCAAGAAACTCTTACCAACAAAATATCAACTAGCAGATTGGAACTCGTCCCCTGATTTCCTTCGTAACGTCCCTTAGAATTAAGTTTTTAATCATCCTGTTTACAAATGCGCGACTGGGGTCTCCTGGGTGAAAGCCGGCATTCGGTGCTTTCATTCCAGCAAGGAAATACCAAGTTAGACCGCATTCATCTCGTTGGTTATCACCTGCATCCTCTGTCGCTATAGCCCGCAGAAATCACTTCTTCCGGCTGTAACAGAGTGACATGTTTGATTACAGCCTATGTCTCTTTGTCTCTGCTTATAACGACTGCAATGCATGTCCTCAATGAAGCGAAGTTACTGTTTGCTGACAGATTGAAACAAAATATAGCATATATGTTCAGGAGTGTTATGAGCAACAGCAAATACTCAATCCCTTCTCTATTCAATCAAGTCGACGTCTTGACATCTACCTCAGATAAAGTTCAATCATTTGCTCTGAAATTCTCTTCACTCGACTCATTTAGAGTGACCACACATGATTTCCTCTTAGAACTGAGCCTCTACTGAGTGATATGTGCATAACCCCGTCCCTAGTCTCGGATATCATTTCTAAATTAGACTCCCATAACGCAGTCGGAGGTGACAGGATCCCAGCCGTCGTCCTAAAGAAATGTGCCCCCCGGACTGGATCCTGTCCTCTCCAAACTCTACAACTATAGCCTCACTGCTTCCTGCTTTCTAGCTTGTTGGAAGTTCTCCTCCTCTGTAGTTCATGTTTTAAGAACTATCGCCCTGTAGCTGTAGATATCTCAAAGGCGTTTGACATGATTTGGTATGCTGGTCTTCTACGTAAGCTTCAAGACGACGGTATTACAAGACGATTGTTTGATTTAATCCAATGATCCTATCAAATCGTGAAATGAAGGTCGTTTTAGACGGGATCGCTTTCAAATCCTTTCACACGAACGCGAATGTTAATCCATTCATTCTTTCTTTTTTAACACTTCCTCCTTTTCTTTCTTTCTTTCTTTCTTTCTTTCTTCATACCCCATCCGTTTCTTTCTTTTTCTCTGAATTCCTCTCTTTCTTTCTTTCTTTCTTTCTTTCTTAATATCTTTTGTTTATATATTTGTTCATTTGTTTGTTTTTTTATGTATTTCTTTCTTTCTTTCTTTCTTTCTTTCTTTCTTTCTTCATACCCCATCCGTTTCTTTCTTTCTTTTTTAACACTTCCTCCTTTTCTTTCTTTCTTTCTTTCTTTCTTTCTTTCTTTCTTTCTTTCTTTCTTTCTTTCTTCATACCCCATCTGGAAAACTTTCAGCCCCCACCTCTAAATATCACCCTAACGTATTTCGGCAAAGTATTTGAGGCTTAAATCAATGCTGAAGTGGATAAGCATCTCACGATCTACTCTCTGACAAACAATATGGCCTCTGTTTTGCCGGATCTGCCGCTGACGTGATTATGGCTATCACTGAATAGGTATATCAAGCTCTTGATAATAATGGCGAATCTCGAGTTGTGGCTCTAGATATCACAAAGACGTTTGATATGGTTTCCCATGGTGGTCTTCAACGCAAGCTTCAGGGCTATGGTATGACACGACGATTGTTTCATTTAATCTGATCCTTCCTATCAAAGCGTAAAATGAAAGTCGTTCTGAACGGGCTCGCCTCCAGATCCTTTCAAACGAACACGTGTTTCCCCCAAGGATCTATCTTAGGTCCTATGATGTTTCTGGTCGTCATCAATGATCTTCCTGATGTCATCAGTTCCCAAGTAGGCATTTATGCAGATGGCATTAACATTTACTCCTGTATTAATAGGAAATCTGTCAGAACTGACAAAGTTAACCTGGAGGCTGCTCTTGAAAAGGACCTCCAAGCAGTGGTTAACTGGGGCAGAAAGTGGCTTGTAAACTGCTCTTTTTTAACCACTATAGAGAAACCTTCCTGTCCGCCATCATCATTGCTGATGCTCGACTCCTGAAGAGCGACTCACAGCTCCTTCTTGACCTCGCGTTTTCAACTGACTTGAAGTGAAACAACTAGATCGAATAAATAGCTGCATCTACTGCAAGGAAAGTTGGGTCACTGTGTAGTGCCAGAAGTTTTTTTTCACGTCAGAGTACATCTTGCACATTTACAAATCTACTATTCGGCCTTGAATTGAATACTGTTGCCATATCTGGTCTGCTGCTCCTGCTGTTTATCTCGACGTTCTTGACAAAAGCCAAAGAAGAATCTGCAATAGGAACGATTCTGACTTGCCATCTCAACTTCAGTCTTTCTTATTGACATGATGTTTCTTCCCTTTGTCTTTTCTACAAATAATTTCATGGCAACTGCTGTGACGAGGTTTTTACATTGGTTCCCCGGCTATATGAATTGGCATCTAGATCCAACCCTTTTAATGCTGAAATAGTTCAATTTAATCGGCACTTCTACACCAACAGTTTCGTTTCTCGCGCTTCCCGACAGAGGAACTCCCTTCCGTTTACTTGCTTCCATGAAAACTACAATCCTAAAAAATGTAAATGCAACATCAATCGCCATCTTTCTGTCGACTTAAACCCCGTTCATCTTTTATCCTTTCCTCTATCCGCCTTATACACTCTCACTTTCACTCTCTGTAACCCCATCCGTTCTAGTGACATTCCCGCCTTGCTTGTGGTGAAAGGGTTGAAAAGAAAAAAAGATAAAATTTTGAAGACTGTGATAGATAGACAGATTGGTCGAGAAAAGGCGTGAGATACAGATTTTCATAGGCAAAAAGAATGAGAGAGAATGCGAGTTAGGAATTTAAAAGTAGAATTATGAATATGTGTGTGTGTGTGTGTGTGTGTGTAACTAAAAAATACCTCGTCTCTCAGAGCTAGACGCTACAATTTGGAATTATTTCAAAATTCTTGCAGAGAAGTAATTCCATTTTTTGTACGTTGGACATAAACTTCAGAGAATGCGGGGTGGGGAAGTGGCGTGTAGAAAAGAGATAACAAAAAAAACGGTGAAGGAAAATGGAGCTAAAGGGAGAAAACCGAAAAATAAGAGAGAAAAAGGTAAAAAATGGAGAAGGAGAGAAGTAGCAGGAGAGAAAATATAAAAGAAAGACAGGGAGAGGGGAGATAAAAGTAGGAGGAGGGAAGAGGAAGGTATAGAAAAGAAGGAACTCGAGGGGGAGGAAAGAAAGATAAGTAAAGAAGAAAAAGAAAGATTAAAGGAGAAAATAAAAAAGGGAAGAAAAAAGAGAGAAGAAAATGAAGAAGAAGAAGGAGGAGGAGGAGGTTTGAAGATGAAAAGAAAGGAGGGTAGATGAAAAAAAGTAAGGGCAGCGATAGAATAGAAAGAGAGGTTAGAACCTAAAATAAGGTTGAAGAAAAAAAGAATGAAACGAGAAAGAGAAAGGAGGGTGGGGACAGAAAGTAGATAGATAGAGAGAGAGAGAGAGAGAGAGAGAGGGAAGAAAACGAAAGAACAGATCGGGATGGTGATAGAAAAAAAGAGGAAAGAAGGAAAATGTCTAGAAGAGCTAGAAAAGAAAGCAAAGTAGAAAAAAGGTAAAAAAATGACCAGGAAAGAATACAGAAAAAAAAGTAGTGAAATATCCATTATGTTCGCGTTCTCCTGTTTAAAATAATATTCGAATACTAAGTTATCTATAAGTTCTAAGGTTCTTTAGCCTTGGGTGGCAATCAGTCTAGGAGAAGAAGAAACTATGACATCAAAACCTCCAACTATAGGTAAATAGTAAGGAAGTCTCAACTATGTAGCCTTGGTTGTCAACCAGACTAGGAGAAGAGCAATTTTGAGTTCAAATCTGGATCCGGAGTCCCTACGACAGTCCGATGTCATTTTCAATTTTGTTCTGGCACTTTCTGCTGTCAAACTGTATTAGCCTCTGCTTTTCCCTTGGACAAGATCGAGAGGGGAGATGTGCTGCATGGACAACTGCCGGTCTCTCATGAAAAAAAAAAAACTGTCCAGGCCTACGCCCTAGAGGGAGCGTAACTCTTCGGGCGCAAATTCATGGTCTTTTTAGACCGACGGATACCATAGAATAATAATAAGTTACAAGAGACCACAGATACTATACTGATCTTAGATAGAGGACTGTGAGGTTGGTGGGGGGCAACTTGTCCGAGGCAGAAATCCCTGTCCAGGAGCTAGTAACTTTTGTGGTGTAATTTCTCGAAATGAGAAACTGGAGAGTCGAGTTCGAATTCCAGTCGGGTTCATTACATTCACTTACTCGCAGCTTTCAGCTAGACGTTGAATAACAGGAGAGACTGTGTTCTATAGCCTTGGTTGGCAACCAGTCTACCGCTGGGAAATCTTCTGCCTTGTCAGTCATGAATCGAAAGAGACATGATAGCCCAAGCGTGTATCACGTATGGCCCTTAACTGACTTATGGAATGTAATTCACAATGAAGCAAATAATCTTCATAGAGCTGTATAACGTAATCAGTGAAAAGACTCGAATCAAAAAAGAAGTATGACGAAGGCTTGTTTTCTCACCGCTGCTGCTGTTAAGTTTTATGCCATGAAGATGTTGAGCCCACGAGAGCCACCTTGTCCTTTCAGTTCACACTGTTTTTGGCAGAGCGTCGGAACATACTCCAATGCCGGATTAATCTGCTGGAGGTCCCGGTGGACGACGTCCTTACAGCGTTTTCGTCCTCTGCCGCGAGGAAGTCTCTAGTTTACAGATGACGGGTCGAATTGGTCATTAGGTTGTCGCAGTAAGTCTTCGGGCGCAGATCCATGGTCTGTTTAGACCGACGGATGCCATAGCATAAGAATAAGTTACAAGAGACCACAGATACTATACTGATCTTAGATAGAGGACTGCGAGGGTGGGGACTGCCTTCTTTTCTTTTTCGGTGGATAGCAGTTTCAATGGATAACCAAGGAGGTAATCTTGATGTTCTTAAATTTAACTTAAATTTAACCCTTTTCCCTAAGTATTGTATAGTATCTTACTCTAAATATTTGCCGTTTTTATTTTATTTGTGCTTTTTTTTTTAAAGATTGGGACCGCCGATTTAAGATTGGGACCGCCGATGACAATTCCTGGTAGAACTTCCAGTTCTCTTAAGATTTCCCCATTGTAAAGGTTAAATAAATCCAGGGAGAAGATGCATCCTTGTCTTACACTCTTACCTATTTTTTGTACTCACTCAATTAATTTCCAGTTCGTTTGCAGGCGGTTGGCTTCCAGTATAATTTCTGGCTTATTCTAATATCTTTTTAAAAAAAAAAACAAAGTGCCTTAGCACTTTTAATCGTTCATTCGATAATTCTAACTAATCAAAAACTTTTGTGTAGTCTATGAAACATAAATATAAGTCCTTCTGCCTTTGTATTGCGCACTCTCTCTCTCTCTCTTGCTTTGTCTCTCTCGTTCTCCCCCCTCACTCTTTCCCTCTCTCTTTCTCTCTCTCTTTCCTTCTCTCTATCTCTGATAACATTTATAATAAACAATTGACAATTGTAATTTGCTGCGATTTGCTTTGAGCCTTGGCGTTGTCTAGCATACAGTAAAACTTCAATTTCTTCTTCCGTGTTTTGTGCTGCCATTGCATATACAACTATGATGGATATATTAAAAGACTTCCCTTTAGGTTTAGCTACCATAATCAGATTGCTGATAGTATTCCAGAACACATTTCTTCATGTTTTGGTCTACGTCCTACTCACCGTTCACTTTTGTATTGCGCATTCTCTCTCTCTCTCTCTCTCTCTCATTCTTTCTTTCTTTCTTTCTGTCTTTCTTTCTTCCTTTCTTTCTTTGATAACATTCTGTTCATAAATAAAAAAAATATTCATGTAGTTGAATATTATATTATTTTTTTTATTTATTTTTGGTTTTCTTTACCGTTATAGTTGTTAATTTTATTTTTTTATAATTTTCTTCATTCACGTATGTGAATACAAAACTGCCTAAACTGTCTAAATTTGTTTGTGAGCGTAATCTCTTAAGAAAAGGAAGGCTAGATTACATATACATAAATTAAAGAAAAGTTATTTAAATTCGTTTTCTGTTATCTCTTTGTGTAATCGGGCAAATCCACACTTTGTGAGCTGATAGACAATTGTACTCCTTAATAGGAGTCAACCTACCAAAAGTCGCTTTTTTTTCATTTTTACGAGACAATGCAATCTAAATTAACTAAGAAAAAAAATAATCCTCTAACGTCATCGCCTAAACACTGAATTTTTATTTATTACATCTTTTTGTGACGTACGGTGGCCGTTAATGATTAAGTATAACTCAAGACTTCAATGTTAAGATAAAATAGTATTTTATTACAACCGCAAATAAATACTCAACAATAACAAAGAAGTAAAAGTCAACCAAAGATAATTAACCATTTCAATGAATCCCTTGTTAGTAGTGCGGCTCGGCTTAACGTCCGGTAAAATTCGAAATCAAAACACAAATCATCGACGCACAATAATTCACACTAATTCGACTGGATAGTTCCAATCAATAGTCAGTCAATAATCATTCAATGATCACTTCAGTCAGTAGACTGACACCGCTATTTATACACCTGGCGGAAAACATATATTTATAAGTCCAGAGTGTCAGGCTCGAACCTCGGTGTCGGTAGTTACTCATTTTCTTTACTTTTTTCTCCTTTTTTTTGGCAATAGGAGTAGATAGGTTCACCTATCGTCCGGTTCACACTTCTCCCCCTTTATTTTTTTTACCAGGAGTAGATTTTTGTTCTTTGGTTCCTTCTAAAATCTACTTCAAATCTATACTTCTAATGTCTCCACCTAAACTCTAAATTTTATTTACTATTTATTTATTTTTTTTCTTCAACAACGAAGACAGGTTTGCCTATCGCCCGGTCCACACACCTCCCTGGTCTTTGAACAGAAGTAGAGGTCTATCCCTTTTTCCCTGTTTAATATTAGGTTTTCGGTTTCTTCTGACGTTTTTTTTTTTTTTTTTCTCTTTCAGTCCTAGAAAGCTCCTTGCGTCTTAGTGGCATTATCACCTTGCTTGGGGTGAATTGATTAAAAAATTTGCCAGTCTCATTTTTTTTTTTTTTTTTTGTTTCGAAAGAAATTTTTGGGTTTCTTAATATTTTGCTTACATTTTGGTAGGCATCTTTCACTATCTTAATGCGCTTTCGGAGTTCAATGTCACACTTCAAATCTATTTAACTTGTTGTACTTGTTTGAATTTGGTATCTCCAATTTGTAATTAGCATGTTGTGATGTTTCTTTTGCTAATAAAGTTTAGTCCTTTCTTCTCGCTTTCCTTCACTGCCTCCCCCCCGGTATGAGTCTTGTAGTTTCCTTTCTGTATTTGCTTTCAACACTGTGTTGTCTACATATCTTATGTCATTAAGATTGTGACCGTCGATAATAAATCCTGGTAGGACTTCTAATTCTCTCAGAATCACTTCACTGTAAAGTTGGAATAAGTCCGGTGATAAGACACATCCTTGTCTTACAGCCCTTTAAAAACTCATATGTGAACTCTTAATACTGGTAGAGTATTAACAAAATATGCCCTCATGTGTAAAACGAGTATTAAAATAAAACTCTACTGGAAATAAAGAGGGGGATCCGTCTTCTATAGTTATTAACTAATAAACCGATCCCTCAATAATTGTTACGTATTTATGCCATTTTTTTGTAAAATATATTTAAATTTACTCATGACAAAACGTTCTTATAAGAGGAAAGATTAAATAAAATATGTCGTTTTTGAAAGCATTGTTATCTGAGTATTAATATAACTATTTATTGGACATAAATTGGGGGATCAGTTTTGTTTTGTTATAAATAAGTAATCTGATCCCCTAGTCATATGACAAGAATAGGGTTGATAATGAGAAGAGATAGCAATAATAATAATAATAATAATAATAATGACGATGATGAAAAATATAGAAAAAAAGATATCCACTGAAAAATATGTTGAAGCCATTTTCATAGAAGCCAAGTCCACTACTACATAGAAAAGTAAAAAGACTCCTCCTCTTCCCTGTCCTTCTCTTTTCCGCCGTCCGCTTCCGTCTTCCTCCTCTTCTTCTTTCTCCTCCTGCAACTACGAATGATGATGATGATGGAAAATAAAGAAAAAAAGTGATCCAATGAAAAATATGTTGAAGCCATGCTCAGAGTAACCAAGTCTTCCTCCTCAACCTCATACTACTACTACTACTACTATTACTACTACTACTACTATTACTATACTACTACTACTACTATTACTACTACTACTAATAATAATAATAATAATAAGACGAAGAAGTAAAAGAAGAAGAATCTTTTTTTTAAATACAGAAAAATAGTTTTAAGAGGTATTTTGATGAAAGCAACGTCTTATTTTATTAAGCCTAGCAACGTTTTCCAGGTGGCAGTGTGTATATATATATCTAAGGAAATTCTGGCTCATATATTACAATGGGTCACAGGAAGATAAAAAATAATTGTTACGTAATTCCTTTCTTCGAGGTTATAGAAAACGAAGACCGAAAACAAAAAATGAAAACATTAAAAATATACATACATACATATATATATATATATATATATATATATATATATATATATATATATATAATATATATATATATATATATAT